ACTGGCACACCACACTACACACACAATACTAAATTAATTGCCTTAAAAATCTCCATATATTTATACTTTTACATATCGAACATAACGTTTTGTCAAAACGATCTTTATTATGTAATTATGTAGTCTTCGAAGAAGGCTTTTATAAATCAATGCGCTATAAATAAGCGGTTAACAATCCGGTTCGTCTTTATATATTTTTATTATTCCTTACACACATCACTGTTTTATAAAATACGTACGGACGCATGGAATACCGTCAATGATTTAAGAATGTTTTTCATTTCATTATGCTTCAATCGATTCAAAATCATTTTCGAATTGCTGTCCGTCCGATAAATGTTGAAATTTGTTTGGCCCAATGGATTAATTTCGAAAAAGTTCTTCTAAGGAGTCGAAGGCGATTGATCAATAAGTTCACTATAATCAAATTTTGATTACAATTCGATCTACTTTTGGGATGCCATTCATATAAGATGGGTTCAAATCAATAATTTTTATAAAATTCTCAATTGCGATTTTTAGCAGATAAACTATTGCAGCATTATTTTATAGGCGGTCGTTTTAACGTATTTGATATGTGTTTGTATAAACTTGGAAGAATTTGTATTAAAAAAGAAAAAAAAAAAAATAAATGTTGTCACCTTTCGGGATTTATTCGAATCCATCCATATTATAAGAAGCTACATATGCCAAAAAATCTCGAAACATTTTTCATTTCGCTTTCATGGATTAAAATTAAGGGCCATCATTTTGATATCCATCGAGGGTATGAAACCATCCCAAAAAGATAAATGACACTATATCTGATGATTGGGATCCACGGTTATAAATATATAAAATCTTTCAGTAAATTTCAGTGCAGGACATTTTTTGCATATGGGGTTTAAGGAAAAGTGCACATATATATTATACTTTTGCCTGCATACCTAAGAAGAATAACATAAAAGGGAAAAATGTTGCACTCCGTCGAACCTTTTCTTTTGGTAAAGTCTGGTAAAGAGGTAGTTACAAATGTGTTGGTAGCGTTATTGTAAATGTATTTGAATGATTTCTAATATGCGTAATTCATATCCAGCATAAAGGCCCGTTTGCTTGCTATATTAGCATTGTTTCTAAGTGACGTTCAATAGTAAAACAAGGCAATATAAACATACTTTATTATCACAGAGAGTGGAAAATTTCAATTCCGCAAAGAGAAATGAGGGGTGATTGTGTCAGTCATTGATGCCTATGTGCTATGTATTATACACATGACGTCCTACATATTATATTATTGGTATATGCAATTATATGTAGTAAGTATGTACGTATCCATGCTTATATGCCTGTAAAAATTTTAATCTATACCAAACGCATATATAATAGAATCAACGGGCCGACGAGGTACATGCCTTGGTATTTGCTAATAATGTTGTTGTTGTTGTTATTATTATTATTATTATTATTATTACTGTTACTACCGCTTCTGTTGTTGCTAAGGCTTTTCATAAAGGGTTCACTCAATTTTATTACTCTGTGATAATTCTATTTTATATATATATATACATATATATCCATGTACATACATATATGTTAATATGTATATATATACATGTATGTATACATATATATGCAAGAATATGCCTACAACGTATATATGCAGTTAGCAGGTTCATATAAGCGTCATAATAATCCATGCAATTTCTCTAGATTTGTAGTAGTGCTACTGTGTGCTCTGTTTTTGTGCCTTTTTCGTTTGGTTTCATTATGGCATTATACCCTTATGCTGATGCGTTGTTATTGTTTGTTATGCTTTATGGTTAAAAGAGGATTCGGTAAAAGGGTTGCATCGTAACAGCAAGTTTCGCCTAATTCGACCAACGTATGTGTATCCGTAATTTCTCGACACAACCACCGCCTCCTTCTTTCTACCTCACTATCGACCAATATTTCATATACCCCGTTGCATACAGCATTTATTCACTCACACCGTGCTACTGGCTGTGACTGGCTTACTCACTCTCACAAGCGTACTCTACATATATACATATATATATATATATATACATATATATATATATATATGCGATAAATGCGAAAATCTATATGCATAGGAACTGAAAATTTTTCAGGTTTTAAAACTCCATAACATTTACCGCCTCATTCGCATTGTCAGTTATTGAGTGTTCGAGGTGTTGCAAAGACGGATTAATATCTCAGTCAAATGTTCTTCTAAAAGTGTTATAGAATTCATGTATCTTTAAGCCGCCGTGTCTTGGACTTTCTCAAATAAATTAAAGACCTTAGTATCATTTAAAGGTAGAAAAATTTGCAAATATTTGTATTTTTGCATTTGGTCGTGTGCGTGTACATGTGCGTGTGCGTGTGCGTGTGTATGCGCGTGTGTGCAACGATGATTGGGTAGCACTTAAACTGTGTTTGCTGGTAACAAGTAAAAACGTTGCTGCTGAAAACTTAAATGAATTGAAAAGTCTTTATTATATACTTTAAAAATATTATCTTAATGTGATTTTAATATTGATTTTCTTTAGTCAACCCGTTACAGAGAATAGAGAGAGGGCCTCATTAACGGTAGGTCCATCATATTTATTGCTTGCAAATGAGATGAAATCAATGTCAGAGATTAGATTCTTAGTATTTTTAATTGAATGACTAACTGATCCTGGCTGGCTAGCTCATCGCCACAAAACAATACCTTATTATCATCATTTGATTCATTAATTTTCTTATTCAAGAAATATTGTTAACGAAAACTAGACTCCTCGTAATAATAATAATAATAATTTCATGGCATTTTATCATTTTTGAATTATTTATTATTGTTTTAGTAGAACAATGGCAAAGATCTCAATAATGACGGTAACCAAGTGTTAGTTGTTTAATCGCGTTGTATAGTGTTAGATCAGCGAGCCAACGAATATCGGACCAAATGAAGTAGTGTATGTACCGTTGTATGTTTTGAAGTTTAGGAGCTTTTTTTTTTTTTTTGCTTATTGTACACACACACACACACACACACACACACACACACATACACGCACTTACACAAACATTAATGTAAAAGAAAATGTTGTTAAAGGTTTTTTAGAAAATCAGCTAAGGCTTGTATGTTAGATGAAGTTCTGTGCAAGTTACGTTTAGTTCAAAGCTCATACAACAAGAATATATTCCGCTAACTTTAATCTCTAATCTGAATAGTTTTACACTAAAAATTAGAACTTTATCTTTTGAAAAATCATCTTATGGATGTAGATGAATTTTTTCTTGGAATTTTCTCCGTCATAGGATCGGCATTAGTGTTAAAGAATGCATTTTGCATATGATATGTTTACTTATTTGTCTGTCTGTCTATCTGTCTGTCTGTCCGTTGTTTAACAATATGATTAAGCTATTTAGACTTTAGTTGAAAAAGGAAACTAAATCGAAATTTGGTTTTTTTGTTTAATTTTCATCAGTTTCCAACTAAACGAAATCGGTTTACGGATGCGGCAAACGAGAAAATATACTCGGTTTTGTACGATGCTTGTATACGAGAATCGGCAATGCATACACTGCAGCGATCGTATAATAATATATATATACTTTTAAACATATTTTTATACGACTTGATAGCAATTTTTTCGATCATTGTGTAAATTAAAAAAAGCGGACGTAGTTTGTATGTAGTTTACCTTTAATTAATGGATTTGTCAGATTCGTTTTAGTTGATTTTTGGAAAGAATGCGGAGATTAATATATCAAAATGCACTGCAATGCAGCAGTCACCACCATCCCCACCCATCCCACATATATATATTATAAAAATATATAATAATAATATATATATAATTTAATGATTTTCTATGATGGATTCGGTATTTTACGTTGTGAAAACTTTGCTGTGCATCTTTAAATAATGCATATTATTGCTATACCTTCATTCCTTTTAAGTGATACCCAATTGATGATACTGTTAAGAGCAAACGAATCCTTCATGTTGCATTGTTCACCCTATTTTTTTGAAGAATTAATACATATTTACGCAGATACTATTTGTGCGTGTGTCAAGAATTTACAGAATAATTTTCTTGTTTATTTTATGAGTAATATGTCGAAAGCATTAAAAACGTGAAAGATAATCACGCATAATTTTTTGTAGGCGTGGCCGATTTTAAGCATTTTTATATAGCTGTTCTCAAACCACCTATAAAATGTATTTGTGCATTAGTAAGGAGCTAAAAACGAAATCGTTTTTATGGTCTCAGATAATGTTCGCCGTTGGTCGTATCTTTCGATCGATTTGTCCTATTTTTAATAACAACTTGACTGCAAGAACTTCTAATGTTTCGATCGAATTTCAAGCCTAAGCACTTCATTTTTGCGGCCAATGGAATGTTTAGCACAGACATTGCGAGGACAGACAGGTAGATAGACGGATTTGCTTAAACGCTTCGATACTGACCGTAAATGTATATACTTTGTAAAGTATTTGAAGCTTGATGCAAATGTTTTGACAAATGGAATATACTGCCCATTCTTCGGTGATAATAAACAAATAAAACATAACGGCCCGCTGTTAACTATTCGGTTTAATACATTCATTCATACAGCGACATTCTCTAAAAAAAGGCGTTATATGAGAAGTGGTCCGATTCGAACCATTTTCGATAGCGGTCGTCCTTGGGCCAAAATAGGACCTGCAAATTAATCACACGAATACAAGACGGACAGACAAGCTTATAAAATTTGGTCAATTTCGACTCCTTCTCAGTTGTTATATACATCTGTAAAAAGCTTAACGTACTCTTGTATCACAGTCAGTTCTCTCTACTACCATTTAAGATTAAATTACTAAAAATTTTCCTAAAAAATTTCTATATATAGAATGTGTATATATATATATATATGTATATAATTGCTGTTGATTGATCTCGTTATCCTTACAGCAAGTTAAGATATTTTGCTCCTTTTTTTTTTTTAATGTACTTTGAGTTTTTGTTAATTTTCCGTTCTATTTACAGACGTCTACGAAGCGTTCCGTTGATTTTGATGTAGACGAAGATTTCGATGATGACGATTCCGGTTCCGATTTTGATGATGATGAAGATCCTGATAAAATAGAAGTGCCAGGTGAGTGAAAAGGACTTTCTCCGTAAAAGCATTTAAAAAACATATAGATTCACTCGAAAGGGCATGTGATTAACTTAAATGCGTACAGTAATAAAAAATCCAACAAAACTTTAATTTAATTTATTATAACAAGCTAATGAATGATGGGTGCATATAAAATGTTGTTATTTCGATAGTATCACCCTAATCCCTCTTAAAAGCAAAATATTGAATTGAATTTTCTTGACAATGGCTTTTTACGTTAAAGAAATGATCTTGAACAGTAACGAATTCCTCACCAAATTGGGTAATCTAATCGGCGCCCAATGGTGTTGCCTCAAGCAACACATAAGAAAATATGGTTCGGACAAATTTTAAATTCGTACTTAAACTAACTTTGATGCCGATTGAAGATTAAGCCTATGCTGCTGTCATGTTTACAAGCGCAACACATTCAATGTTAGCCTCTTGCGTTATGAGCGATAGTGCGCATAGACGAACATTCGGAAACGCTATAGGGCCCAGTTGTATGTTTAAATACGAATCTGAAAAAAAAGGAGAAATAAATAATGCGATAGAGGATAGACGGTGTCGTAGTCAAACCGTTTACTGCGTTTCTAAATTTATAAAAGATATCATAACATTGCGACAAACCCCGATCATATGAAGAAGGTACGAGAAGATATTGTGTCTATATAATAATTTCCATTTAATAAAATCCGTCAACTATTTTCAATGAAAATATTCAATAAGTTATAGTAAATGTTTCGAATTATTGGAATAATCAGTGTTGAGGTTTTGTACTAACTTTCCCGTTTTCACGTACAAGCGGTAATTGGAAAAAGCTACTATTAGTAACAACGATAATAATGCACAAATGAATGATGATTTTACAATGACTCTTGACCCGCTTGGGTCGATTATTAGGACGATTAGGTTATTACTCGATCTATCAGAGTTTCGTATTTTACAAATGTGTCACTAATTGTTCTCTTGCAGATTTCTAAATTCAAAATTGTAATATCGATTATGTTCAGGCCTTCTGTGACCTCTAACACTGTTCATTTCAAGCCAAATTGATCATTTTTTATTTCCATGCGGCCTACGTTACACTTTTATATTCAGTTATTTTTTGAGGTTAAAAATCTTTTTGTTTCAGCATCAATCGTGAACTACTTATCTTTCTAAAGGACTATATAATTGAGTCTTTTACCCGTAGCGTACGTAAGAGTCATTGTAATTCGACTACAAATTTCTTAGTTATTGTATACGGTACACAACTTAATAAATTCAAACCAAAACGAATGCATTATAAATAAAAGAAAACTTTAGTCAAAAAAAAAAAAAAAAAAAAAAGAGAAAAGCAAAATAATGACGTTAAATAAAATATTGAAAATTTTGTGAAAATTCATAATATCTAGGTTTTTTTGCACACTTTTTGTTTTACGGTAAGATTTAGCCTGAGAAACATAGATAAAAAGTCCCAAAGGATAGGCGCAAACATAATGCGATTGCAGATGTTTTCATCTGTTTTGTGTTAAGGAGCGAAGAGAGGCGTTTTCCATGAAAATTTCAATTTTGAAATAAATTTAATTAAATTTCTAACAAAGATATGCATTCGGCCTTTGCACTTTTCCAAAAAAACAAAAAAAACAAAAAAGTTCTAAAACTAAATCTCCTGCAGCTGTTTCCCCTTGCTCCTTATCGCAAAAGCCTCCACCTAATCCATTTCTATGTTAACAGTAGTATAGTTTTCGTTTTATTGTAAACCGTAGTAAGTTAAATGAATGCAGTTTAAAATTTGTTTTATGCAAACTCTGCAAATGCCAACCATATATGTATTGATAATGTTTGCCTCTACGCTTATATGGATGATATATATATGTTTATGTATATGTATATGTGAGTATGTAAAGAAACTTTAGATCATACAAAAGCAGGGTACACATAAATACATTAATAATATATACAAGAGCTAAGTGTTTGCATAAACGATGCCCGATTTTAATTAGTTTGCTACGCATAAATGTTCATGATCAGAGTAAATGATGATGATTGGGATCGAATTAAAATTTTTTTGCCAAAAATATTCCATAACCTTTTTATATAATATAGCACATGTTTAAGAAAATGAATTAAAATTGCTTTTGCTGAAAATGTGGATTTATTATAAGCATGAAAGTGTATGGAAATATCGTCGCGGAGTTTCATGCGAGAATATTTTTTATGATTTTTATATCTACCATCGA